GGTAACTCCTTTATGTCTCATTTCGTTATAACTTAGGTGTCCTAAATAAAAGAGTCAGTAGGAGCACTCCTCAAGTTGATATATCTTTTACTTTTATAGGTCACAATGTCATCTTTGAACGTGACTGGAGTGTCTGAAGTGGAGGGGATACTTATAAAACATTCTGATGTTCAAGATAAACATATGTTACAAATGGAAACATAGCAATGAAAATGATTTTGCCTATATACCTCGTGAACAATGACTATCTATAGTACCTTTATGGGTTTTGTCTATTGGGTCTAAGGTATATAGGTTTATACCTTCTTAGGGTTTCATAACCTTGTTTAATTACCTCCATATGATCTTAATTTGTATTGGTGTTGTACCTACATAGGTGGTTGTTGTGTTGAGATTATTTATGAGATGTTCTTTGTCCATCTTCCTAACACACCTCGGTCCTTCCTCTAAGGGGTACTTTGTCCATCTTAGGCTCTAGGTACTAAGAATGAACCTAAAGTTACATTCAAATAGAACTCTCATAACATGATTAATGGCATCTTCATGACTAATAACTGACCCATTATAAGAGAGGGACAAAGTGGTGTAGTCGAGCTTCAACATATGTTTTTACCATTTGAAAGTTAATCATTTTCAACTCCAAATTGTTTTACAACGTATTTTCACTGCCAAGTGACTCCATTTTCACATATATTTATGTTTTATACTATATGCAATCCTTTTACTGTTTCATTCACAATCTAACTAGTTAGAACATTATGTTTTTTACCAAATCTTTATGGATATGACACTTGTTATACTACAAACTACTCAGTATACATGATGGAATGTTTGATTGCTTTGCAGCAACTCCAATAACCATCTCATTCACTCAAACACTCAAGCTCTCTCTAGCTCTCTTTTTCTCATTTAAACACTCTAGCTAATTGGCTCTTGATACTACTACTTTGTAGACAATTAACCTCTCTTTATTGTGATTTTTTTTATCCATCTCTTATTGTTGTTTCATTCATGTATTCAACAATACAATTTATAGACTTACATTTTCATGACTATTGTGCTCAAAATAGACAAAAACATCTATAAACAACTAACTTATTAACTTCCTAGACTCCAACGATTAGTACATTAGCTACCTACAACAGTTAACTATCCACAACTGCTAACACACTTAAGTTTATAACAAACCTAACACATTCTTACTCTATATTTGGAGGAAACAACATGTGTGATTACAAAGGTGTTTAAGCGTGTCGTACCAACCAGTAGGAAAAAATAATTCTGACTAAGCAGAATAAGCTCTTCTTAGTCTTTACCACTCCCACAAGGATGGTTTCATCTTTTGTGCTTCATCATTTGTATTACCATTATAGACACGATATCACACCATAATCAACAACACCAACAGTAACACTCTCATCGGTGTGTGCTCTTTATCCATCATGACAAAATTCATTATAGGTCTTCTCCTTCACTATGTGGCAGCTTGTGTACATGTCTGACTCATTCATTGTTATGTATGTGTCACACCACAAACTACCATCACTCAACATGTTGTTTCTTTTCTCTCTCACTCACCATTCTTTTCATTACACGTTTACTCACTTTATTTCTAAAAAATTATTAAGAATCATTATTCATTTAAATAAAATAACTTATTTATTCAAAGACTACACCTTACCTTACTTTTCATTTCATTCTTTTGAAAATGGTCATTTTTATAAATATACATATTTTTTGTTTACAAAAAGTAGGCAAATCTAGTGGTAAAATTGTATAAATGAGAAAATTTTAAAAGATAGACAAGTCATGTTGGGAGAGGATGACATTAAATGAAGAATTTGTACATCCCCTCACACGACTTTTGTGAATCAATTAGTCAGAGCACCATGCTCAACTTAAAAGTTGTCAAGAAAGAACACAGTGTCCATGAAATGTAATTGATTACAATTGTAATTAATTACATTTTATGGAAGTTGTTGGGGGATTATCAACTTTTAATTTTAATTGAAAGTCATGTCTGACTTAACTTACTTCTAATTTTCATAATATTAAATGTAATCAATTATAGTTTGTGTATAATAGATTGTATATGATTGATTATTAAAAGAATTTTTTTCTTAAACATGTAATTGTTTTTTATTATTATTTTACATCTTTTTCTCTTAAAAAGTTATCATTAATAACATAATCATTTAATTAATTAGGATTTTCGTGAATTATGGAATGTGTCCACTCTAATAAGGACACTCTATATTAAATTGTAATTATAACTTTTTAGAGTTGCACATCAAAGGAAAAAATTCCCACAACAATAGATTGCAAGTATACTATAATTGATTACATTATTAAAGAAATTAGAAGTCATTTATCTTTTTACAACTTATAATAACTCGTCAGCTCCAAGGACTCCAATAAAATGTAATCTATTACATTCTATGAAAATGGCGTTTCTCCTTAACAACTTTTAAGTTAAACATGTACTCACCAATTCAATTCACAAAAGTCGTGTGAAAAGTGTATGAATTTTCATTTAATGTCGTCATCTTCCACTTGTAGTTTTTTAAAAAAATTTATGTTCCATTAATTTTGCCACCAAATTTATTTACTTTTATATAAAAAAAACTAAATTAAAACTACGGATAGAAAAAGTAAACATGAGAATGTAATTGAGAAACCTGATTCTAGAGTGTTTTGTGTTTGTGCAGCCTAAGTTTTGAAAAGAGTCTTTAAATTATTCTTGTTATTAAATTAATTTAATAATTTATTAATTAATGAATTTTTCTCGAAGTTTGTGAGTATTCAACAGCGAGGTAATCCCTTGTCTTACGTAAGAGAGCGTCTCTCTTCATTTCACTTCTTGTTTTTGATCTTTCCAGCACCGGCTTCAATTATTTCTTTTGGTTAATAATTTATTTTAATTTCATAATTCAATGATTTTTTAAATTAACAAGGAGAGGCACTTAAACAAGGGAACGGATACTGATATTGTATGAAAACTTGACATATGAATCTAAATATTCTTATGTAACATTACAATGACTTGAATTATAATTTTTTTATAAAAAACAAAAAACTAAATTATCACGAACGTGAGATATATTATTTTAACAATTTTTTTTAAAAGTAAAAGAATGAAATAAATAAAAATTAGAAATTAAATTAATTTTCTCAAACGAATTAAAGAAAAAAATATTTATCCAATTAAATAAGCATAATTTGTACAATAAACAAATTAAAAGTGTCAGAGAAGGATACAATGCACTGCAGAGAAGGTGGGAAGGTGCAGAGATTATGCATATGCTGATAGCTAGGTGCCTCATGGTGGTGCTTTAGTTCTTATTATTATTGTGTAATGTTATAAAAGATTAAGATACACTTCCAAAACAATGATGTTTTGTTATGATAGGTGGAATGATATCCTGTTTTATTATTTTTTGTGATGTTATTATTTTATTAAAAATATAATAAATTAATAAAAATAAAAAGTTGTTCTAATGTTACAAAAAATTAAAGATACAGGTCCAAAACAATTATGTTTTGTTATGATAAGTAGAAAATGCTATCATTATATATATTATTTTTTAATATGTCTTACTAAAGATATAATGAATTGATAAATTAATAAAGTATATAAAAAAATTGTATGATAGGATAATGAAAAGTTAAGGATAAATCATGTAACTATTATTTTTTAATAAATACTATTTAAAAAAGTTTAAAGCTAAAACTATATGACTTTTTTTGTTTTCTTTGTTAAATTGAATATTTGAGTTAAAATAATAAAAGAACAAAAGACTTGTGCGTATCGTCGTTGGGCACACACCATGGAGCCCGACGTCCGTTCACTCCTTAACTCTGCCTCCTCCTCCGCTTCTTCCTCCGACGCCGACGACGATGCTCCCCACCGCACCATCGATGAAATTCTCAATGACTGTGACACTTCTTCTTCCTCAAGCTCTCCCCCTTCCTCTCCCTCTCACTCTCTCTCTCCACTCACCAATTCCCATCCTCAAAACCCCACTCTTCAACCAAAACCACTCCAACCCGCACTCGATTCAATTTCTCGGCTCAAACCAGCCGAATTCTCCGACCGCACACGCGTTTCGCGTCCGTTCTCTTCTCTACTACAGGGCGTGCGGTCCAATGCGAAGCCGGGCGCCGCCCTCGCGGCTGCTGCTGCGGCGTCTCGATCCGTTCCTACGCCGCACGCGGCGGCGATCATTTCCAGGAGGAAATCTGCGGCTGCGATCAGCACTGAGTTGAGTTCGACCGCTGCCGCTAGCGACGATTATTCCGATGTTTCTTCTAAAGGCGAATTGGGCGAGCTTAGTGAGAAATACGATCCTGTGCCGCAGAGAATCGAGACTCAGTCTAGTGAAAGTGCTTCTGTTAACGGCGAGCTTGTTGAGAGTGATGCAGATATTGCCATTGATTTGAAGGCTGGTAGTGCCGCTGACAATCAGGTGCATATTGATACTGATAATGACAGTAGGGATGGCGATGATGATGGAAATGGCAATTATAATGATTCTTCTATAGTGAGTGAGGAGAATAGGAATTTAGATGAGGTTGACGGTTACCATGGGAAGGATATGAATTCTTCAACGTTTGATGAAGATAATAATGATCGTGACTTGGATGGGAATGATGGTTCTGAAAAGAGAATCACAGCTATGGATTCAGCTGTGGAAACAGAAGAAACGGTGGATAATGGTGAAAGCTCTGTGGATCATGTTAAAAATGAGCTGAGTGGTGGCGGTAGTGACGATGGTAGTTCATTGGGTGATGTTTCAGAGCTAGTGGAAGAGAGGCTTGATGAATTGGAAAGCAGAAGGGCTTCTAAGAGAGCAGAGAAGAAACGAGAATTTTCAATGAAACCACTTGAATTGGCTGAAAAATTGGAGAAAAAGCGAGCTTCAACTGGTTTGCATTTGGAAGAGGGTGCTGCTGCCCAGCCAATGAGACTCGAGGGCGTTCGAAGAGGGTCCACGACGTTGGGATACTTTGATGTTGATGCTGATAATGCAGTCACCAGGGCGATTTCGTCCCAAACATTCAGGCGTGAGCAAGGTTCTGCCCGAGCCGTGGCAGTTCATGCTAATTATATTGCAGTAGGAATGTCAAAAGGGCTCATTGTTGTCTTTCCCAGTAAATATTCCATTCATCATGCTGATAGTTCTGATGGAAAGGTTGCTTCCGATTCAATCAAACTCTTTTGATCTAGCTCAAGTTCAATGCTTAATGAATTATGGAAATTTAATTTACATCCTTGCCCACAAACCTATACCTAGTCTGATATATTAAACAATAAAAATAATGCAATTCTTAAAATTTGGGTTTAGTGCTTAATTTAAGTTCACAGAATCAGTGAGACTAATTACACCTTCACACCTTTTACCAGTGTTGTTAAATAGCCACTATAAAATTCATGGATTTGCAGTCTTGATTCTGTCCGCTTCTGTGGTCGTTGTTGGTGTCAGTTGCGTCATGCAACCTACATTCTTTTGTCATTTTTAGCGAGTCTTAAGCCAATTGAACTTTTGCGTTAATATTGTGCCAATTTTTGTGCTACTTGCATATAACTTATATTTAACAAACATATATGTCATATTTCAACGGCTATGTGCCTTTTGCTATTTACCTGCAACCCTATCTATTATATGGTGTAGTGAATTATTGCTTTCCGCCATTTTCTGCCATCTATGATTGATAACACTGCCTGGTACAATGAAAGAGGCAGCAATAGTCAAACCAAAGAGGATGCAATTGAGGTGGCTTTCCAACACAACCCCTCGTGCCGATGGCTACGGGCTGGGAGTGTGGACAATGCAAGTTACCCAACGATGGATTTATGATAGATCTTGATTGATCTTCAAATTTAGACTTAGGCTTAATTCAGCTCCAAACAAACTTACAAGGTGAGGAGCCTTATAAGCATTAGTTAGGTCATGTCGCTAAGGCAATGTAGGACAAAACATATCCCCTCATTCCTAGTAATATGATTATAAGGTGCTGGAGGCTACAATGAAGGCAGACCAATGAGGCTGCAGTTAAGGCCTGTCAGGAGTACCAACTAATATGACTTTTAAATAGTAATATTATGTTTAATGCTATCTTTTAACTTGATAAGTTTTTCTTTTAGATTTCACAGTAAAAGCATATTTTATCAGATTGGCTTGAAATATCTGAGGAATGAGAAAAAAAATATGAAAATGCAAACAACTTTTTTGTTTTTGATTTTTATAAAAATAAGGGATTAAACTACCTCACAAGAAAAAACCTGCCTCCCCAACACACATGCACACATTATTAATGGATTAGTATTAAGACACTCTTTAAATGCTTACTAGACAACGCACAAAACAGTAATGCCGACACTTATAATTTCAAGCATTTATGTGACTGAGTTTTGTTATCAGCTCTAACATCATTTATCAATATATGCTGTTTTCTTGTTAGATGTTGATGCTTGCTATGCAAGGTGATCGGTTGCGTGCTCCAGTGACATCTATGTCTTTCAATCAACAAGGAGACCTTCTTTTAGCTGGTTATGGTGATGGTCATCTTATCCTGTGGGATGTACAGAAAGGGGTTGTAGCAAAAGTTATTAGTGGTGAGCATACAGCACCAGTAGTACATACCTTATTTCTAGGTCAAGATCCTCAGAATACTCGTCAATTTAAAGCAGTTACTGGTGATTGTAAGGGTCTGGTTCTCTTGCACATTATCTCGGTTGTTCCTTTGTTTAGTAGATTCTCCATCAAAACTCAGGTATATAACATTTTTCATTAATGTGCAATGGGCTGAGTCTA